TGGACTGGACGTATTGAATTTATTACAAGAATAATATTATTATCCAACTATAAAGTGTATTATTTGTCCGCCATTCCATGTATATTACTATTCGAATAGGTACTTATAACCAAACGGCACTTGGCCACGTAGCTCTGGGCGTGGCTAGGTAATAAAATATGTATTTTCCCCCACGATAAACGCATAAGACATCCATCAAATTCCTCTGATTCAACCTTCTTATAGCTCTTAAGTAATAATTCTACCGGGTATTTTTATATTTTTTCCACGGAAGACTATTTGTTTAGTTAGATATTTTACAAAACGTTTGCCACGCAGTTGTTATGCTGAATTGTTGGTAATACATTCAAAGTAGGGTCGACTCGACAAGTATACGAGCCACCTCGTTTACACCCGAAATGTGTATTTGACCCCAATCTTTTTATTTGCATAAATGGTATTCGAAGATGAATTATTTATTAATCTTCTTATTTTCTCTCTCTCTCTCTCTCTCAGTGGTCTCTGTAATTGTTTTGAACGGTGGAAGGTCGCACGTTAGAGGATATGGAATTCCATTAACACGTGCCAATTTCAGAGTTATTTCCCATATGGATACCGACTATTATGGTAACAGGTGAACGCTGAAAGTTTCAGTTGAGCAAAATGTGTTTTTAGCTTCGATGCGGAGCTCAGAGGTACATATTATTGTTTTTATAATGATGTGTTTTTTTTTGCTGTCTGGACCCACGATAAACCATTAAATCAATTTCTTCGTGTAGCAACTCTATGAATCAGAATTCCTACCTGAAAGATACTTTATTGGGCCAAACATCCAAATGGTTCACCCCTTTCTCTTCAGTTGTAATGATTCATATGAACCTGTGACCTCCCCTGCCTCAATATTCTCCGTCCCCACTATGCCCCGACCCCACTGTACTGGCTTTTTTTATCTGTAATCTCATGGTCTAAACCAATTTAATTAATTTCTTAAGGTTTCGTAACAGCTAAAAAACCACAGTTAAAATTTGTAAAGTATTGTGACTTGACAGTTTGCTCTAACAAAGCTGATGGAACGGCATATAGACCAGCCAATATGAAACGCAGGTCGATTTTTTGCAAAGGATTTTAATGAAATTGTCAACTTGTATAAAACTTACAAAACAAGTGCCGTGGTGGTTCTGGCGTTTTATGTGGTATAATTGAATTTGAATGTGCTCGTGTCGTTGGAGAGTTGATGGAAAAACGGATAAACTATCGAGTAGCGGTAGTATTAAAACATCGGAGAGGAATTTATATGTGGTACGACTCCAGTGTCTGAGATTCAAAACGACGTTTTATGTAAGTCTGCGTGTGACAACAATAACAGCTATGGCGCACAGATGATTGAGTATCGATTTGCGGTCATAAGATATTATTATATTATCTAATACGAGCCCTTCTAATACTTTGGCGCGAGTTTGACATAATCCATTTAAGTTTTCGAAATGAAACCGCAATGATAAATCGAATTGGATCTTAGACGGGCAACGCGAATCTGGTCGTATCTTACCTAAGGAAATAATACAATATTACACAGTTTGCACACAGTTCAAATTCAAATGCACCATAAAGTGCCAAGCAAAAACGGTTGGAAACATTCAATTTATGTTAATCTAAAACAAAAGTTTATTTTCCAGAAAAATAGAGCATTATAATATCAGTTTTTCATTTTCCTCGCCGCAAATTGGTTTTAATACTAAGACCGTCTCGACGGGTGTCATATTTTGTCAACTTAACGTTATTCAAGAGTCTTTGCATAGCCAGGAAATCCCATTTGGCTACAAATAGAAAACGGGATTATTTGAAATTCAAAACCAATTCCGGATGGACACGTCGAAGCTACGATATTTGAATGGCCATTTTCAAGAAAATGCACATATTTATTTAGTTTTATCAAACAAAACTATTAAATTATTCAAATGTATTCGATGCAATCCAGGGAGGGAAAAGTATGTAGGTACAATTTGTTTTTTTTTTATTTTAATTTTATGTTACATCAATTATACTCAGACATATTCTTATATAATCAAAGAATCCTCGAAACTTTGTTACAATTATATTATAAAATAGTGTACGCATAATATTATCTTTTTGAAGATGTTTCAAGAATCATCTCTTCCCAATGTTGCTTTAGCCACTTTATCTACCAACTTTGGTGTTGGGCCTTATTGACCGGCCAAAAATGCCCAACTATACCTTAACACAAAATCTGACCTTTGTATATATATGTATATCTATATAAATATAGATATAATACATTCTATGGCATTTTTATCACAAAATATTTAGCCTAATATATTTCCAATCTTATCTAAGTATATATGTGTAAGTATAGAGTGTTGTTATATTTTCACATTCACAACATATCTCAAACGAAGGACGTTTACTGCTGGTATAGTTTTTTTTTTTTTACTGATCACTTGACACAAACGAATAATTGAGTGTAGGTTAAGACAGAGGCCGGTCGCAAAACACAATAACAGCATTGTCACCTCTTCCGACTTTCGATTCGGTGAAGACGGTAATATTATAATATGATCATCGTCGGATGAAGTTTACCACGCAAAACTGTCTTAATCTTACCGGTAAACAACCGGATGCGTTAAAACGCTATTGTAAAAAAACTCTTATTGCTTATTTCGTATCATAATATAGCACTATTTTTTTTTTTATATCATTATAATATATAATATTTAAATTTTGTTTGTACTTGTGCCTAAGAAAACCGTCAGTCACCGAGATAATGTTATATAATATATTTATACTTTTTTCGCTTTCTTATATCGCGACACGCCCTATCTCGCTCTTTCCGTGGGTTTTCCCCGGTTTTCGTGTTAATTAAGTTGTCTACTTATCTTGCGGAGTCGCCGATTAACGAAAGTTCACAACAAAAGCGGCAAAGGTGCTGATAAATATTTCACTACCGCATCCGACACGTCTTGTGTACCAACATATTATAAATATGTATATATATATATATATACACCACTCTTTGGCCGTTTAAAGTATTCACGTGTGCTTTATATTGAACTCGGAAATTATGCACGCTTGTCGGAAAACTATTCCAAAACTTTATACTGACATAAACGTTTTAGCAGAACCGTTTGCCGCCGCCCATTGTTGTGATATAATAATATTGCATAAGCCGGATCGCTGGTTTGTCTTTATCAAGCACCACAATCGGAGCTAATCGACAACGCCTATACATTTTATGTGGGTCAAGTTGGCGCACCGGCCCGTAACGCTAGGACTTATAGTCTATAGGAAAATTATGCTAAACTTTTGCGTTTGTATTTTTTGTCGATACAATGTTGACTACAAATTACCAGCACCGTAAGGAAAGTAGAAACAATTTGATCGATAACATCTCAAAATAAATAACAAAAAATATATATATATACCAGCAATGCCAAATGTCCTACGTCAAAAATGAAATTGGCCATATTTATCTTAAAAATTGATAAAAATGTGATATCGATTTTTTCCGCACCTTTAGGCAATTTGAAAAAATGGACTAGCAAAATTTACAAGTATAAAAACATATAAAATAAGATTTAGAGAGGAGAAAAAATGTACTAGCAGAATCTAGCAAATTAGTATTAATTTTTTTTTTTAAAGGATAATCTATTAGAGTAGTCAATTAGTGTGTGGTCACTGGCCAGTGTTTCTTTAAGCCGTGATATTTTTTGATTTCTCAACTTAACTAATGTGGGTATAAAATTAAAACAATAAACCATCCGCTACAAGGGCACTAGTCGATTAATTATAATAAAAAAATATCAAAAATATGTTTTCTCGTAAGGGTCGATGATTAAGCGCATATTTTTTTAATATAGGGGCTTTTGTGGATATTAAAATACAACCATGAATATAATATATTATTATTGGCCTTATCATAATTATTAACTGCCACACCATTTTTAGCGTAGTGCATTGAAAACCCGTGTATCTTATTTACAATATTATAATATGATATTAACTAAACATTTTTTTTTTTAATTTAACGTATAATTTACAAAATTCAAGAATGTGTATTTTTATCACATACCCGATTGAACCGTGACTTCGCGAATACTTTGTGACAGACTTTGATTTAGGAAAATATTTTTTCAACATGAATGATTTTAACTTGTATAGATTTTGACTGTTTACAATTCTATGACAACTCATCGAGTCTCATCCAACGAATATGGTCGTATAATATGCCTGTAGGATACCTACTGAAAAACCGCCCGAAGCGATTAACCTCTCCCTATTCTTTCTGTATAGTGCATATAAAGAAACATATATATATATATTCTTTTTTATGTACGTCTTCCTTTTCACGTCCTTTTCGCTGCCGCACAAAAGCAATAACTCTTTTTGAAAAAGAACCGACCGAAAATATGGCTACACACACACAAACATACAGGGTGATCCGTTTGATGTAAGACACTCATTTTTACATATTTTGCTATATTTTTCAATCCACTATCATTTTTTATCAGTAAACATTTTTGTAAGTATTGAAAAATAAACTATGAGTAAGTTAGTGCCTTAATCAGATAGATCACCCTGTATATGTATGTATGTGTGGTACACGCATTGAATTTCGGTATTTTCCGAGCGATAAATAGGATGACAAACAAAACGGCGGCGGAATAAGATCAATGGTTTCCTCTCGACAAAAAAAAAAAACGAACGGTAGGCAACACCTAAAGCCTCGAGATTCGGCCGTGGGATCATGTAAGGTTAATTTTTATACTTATAGCGTTTTTTACAATATGATATTACTTGGTTATTTTTCTCCTTTCGGATGACGAACTCTCCTTGGATCGGTGGATGCCTAAAGGAAAGCGGTAGCAACATATACAGCGCATTATGAGTGTGCGCGATATTATATTCATTGTGTGTGACGGATAATCCATTTTCTTTGACCCGTTATAGGTTGGCCAATACCGTTATAATATTCCAAGTGTACATTATAATAATAATATACTCACCGGCGGCGAAGTAAGTGTCCTGACAGCCTCGCTGAGATGCTTCAAATTCAAAGGCCGTTGTTCCGTCAACGCGATGCTCGGCCTGGGCGCGGCGGGTGCGGACTTGGAGCTAAACGGGCAAAACATTTTTGCCGAATTTCTCGAACACAGCTGTACCTGTCGACACACAACAGACGACGGTCACGATCATAATGTTGCTATTGAAAAACACAATTTCTACAAAAAAAAAAAAAAAAAACGGATGCGCCAGGAAGGAAATGGCCAGAACTAAGACGGGGGACATATCCGGCAAAAGGAGTTTGGCTTTAGCCAGTAAGGCATTTGTTTGTGCGTCAGTCCTGTCGTGTATCAATTATTCTCAATGCATACCACGGTTGCCCGACGGCCTACGACAATACTCTCAATTCACTTGTGTGAAGTTATGTGAAGTTAATATAAAGTTGAAAATGTTGTCCGCTTGGAACGCTAGTCCGCTACTGGAGAGGTCACTTTATCACAAGCGGTTGGGCAACTATATTTTCTTAAACCGTGATTCTTATTTTACATGTCTTCAGTCCGTGTGCAGTGCACGTTTCTTTCTAATCTCATCTCGACGTGTGTGCAGTATTGTAATACAACACACAATAATCTCTGATCAACTCATAACAACTGCAGTCTTATTGTACCTCATTGACAGCTCAATCATTCTAACGAGTAATAGCGCGCAACATTCTGTACAGATAGCTGGGACTTTGTGTAAATTAATAATATTGTCCAGAAGATATTATATGCTCATTCATTGTGTTTTTGTAACGTAGCTTTGAGCGACCCCATAAGCTTGGTGAATCAAATCTGTTGGTACAATAAAGTTAAATGAAAAAATCACTAAATTTTTTTTTTTTTACGGCCCGCATAGTGGCAAGAACACTGAATAATTTCTACCGCCTAATGAAAAACGACCACCAACGCTGTATAATATTAGATTTTTGGTAAAGTCGTTAAAAAATATGCGCTAAAGCTTTAAGCCGGCCACCGGTTGTTGTGCCATGATGTGCACTACCGGCAAAGCCGAATCTTATCTGGTGACTGCTCGAGGTCAGACGTAACGTTTAAGTATCGGATTTAAGAAAATAACGCATTTAACCTTATTTCGCAGCAATCCTTTTAATGACGTCGCCGGCACAAATATAATACCTACCGGCGCAGCTGGCCTGACACATTTAATCTCATATTTTTCATATAATCCCGTACAATACAATATATTATTATTATATCAAGATGTGAATGCAATATTATGTGTGCAAGAGACACCCGGATAGTTTTATTCACGAATGAGCTACAACAACAAAAAACACGGAGAAAAAATAATTCGTTATTAATAAAATACTTAACCAATTTGAGACTTGAATGTAGAAATCATACTGACTACCTACATATAAAATTAATTTAAAAATATTTTTTTTTTTGTTCAATTAACGGTTGTTGAAGAAAAAACAAGACCGATATGTTATTTATCTTAATAACACAATGAACGGTTCTCACTGTAGAAAAAATCAAATGTTAAGTGCAAAAAAATAATTTTTTATAAAAATCCCGAGGCAACCAATTGAGAATAATCGATGATTTGAAAAGACAATAAACTATTTTAATAAAAACAAATGCTCTCTAAAGATAATTCGTTCAAAGTACACATACACTTATTTTTAATTTTACAGGCAATCCATGAAGATGTTAAATTATATCCCTTTTAAAATGTATATGGTTTTAAAAAAAAATTGCACAAAGCAAACATTATAAACCTATCCGTTAGGTACCCTTCTGTAAAATATTTTTTTTAAGTACCAAAACAAAAACATTGTGCTTATCCGACATGTTTTTTCAACCTCCTATTATGCGAGCGTGATGCTTTGTTTTAACCGCATTGTATGAACATATTATTTATATACAATAATCAGTTTACGGCAACGTGGAAAAACAAAAACATATATATTTACATAATGCCTAAGCCTTAACGTATAGCTGTGCAACTGTACAGGCTAAAGAGATTGGAATTTTATTATTTTAAATATGTTTAAGCGTTTATTACAATTTGTCGATTAATGATTTTATTTCATAGCGGATTTTTACAGCATTTGATAATTACAATGTTTTCTATTTTTTTTTTATGTGAATTTTTTTTTTTTATAATATTATATAACATATTTTATTATTTTTCATTGTGTTCCAAGCCAGATTTTTCGGTACAAAACACTCTTAGTTAGTCATGGAGAATTTCCTAAAGACTTATGGTAAATATTCAGAAACTTTAGGATACCCGTCACCTTATTGTGATCATTGAAATCATTGGAAGGTGTATAACATGGTAATTTTGGAGAGTGTTTGCCACTTTTACCTATATCGGTATTCAAGATCGATTTCCGTTTTCCCAGTCTAACTTCGTTCAGGGTCTCACCCACCTTGTTGGCTCCTATCAAGAAATTCTATTTAGCTTATTTCAGTGGTATGTACTACAGTAAAAATATCCACGATTCAATGGTTTTCCATGGAATGGAAGAAACTAACTAGTTGTTAACGTTTTTCATTTATCTGTTGCCCTGTCAAATGCTGTTGTATACACCTTTAGCTAGGAGCTGTAGGTAACTAACCGAATCTACTGAAAATTCTTCTGGTGCCCTTCAATGTCCCCGCGTATGTTGAGTATAACGTGTACAGTTTCATTACATGAAACGGAAGGTAAAATACCTGATGACATTCAAACCGAAACCAGTCGACTATTTGATCCGATTCACTAAGCAACAGAAACTGTCATCATAAAATTGTGTACACTACGCTGTTGGCGTAACATCTTCCAACACTTGTGGAATCGATTTTATGACACAATACTGTTTGGCGCCTACGACTTGTGGCCGTATCAGATTTCAATATGACGGGGCGGTTCACGTCGCGTCACACGTTACACAACGTATGAATTTTCATTATAATTAGTTACTCGGTGACTTTCAAAAAAAAAATATATATATATAATATTACAGGCCCGCAAATCGATGACAAAGCTGCGAGGACAGGGTACGCAGGAAAAACTCTTTCGTGATTAGTTTAGCGTGATCCTGTGCATTCTGAACGCCCTATGATAATTTGTTATCTTCTGTTAGCGGTGCTGGTATTATATAACCACGGTAACTGCACGATAATTAACTTGCCCGTAACGACCACTCGACGACGAAGATTATTAAACCGCTATCGATTATAGACTAAAGTGCGGACATGTTAATTTCCATATTTTCCATCCATAGCTGCAGCTGACTTATGGAAATGTGGTCAAGGTTCGTGGTGATAATTTCAGTGACCTACAGTTTTCAAACAAACTGTCGGACACGGCTCGGTTTTTTAAGCCAATATTAAGATAATATTCAAATTCCACGCCGAGCTGTATTTGGAAAGATTTCACTATCTCGATTGACCTATTGAACAAAATACTCGAGATTATACTTTTACTTTAAAAGGATTCGACCGCCTTTCGTAACAATGTTTACTATCAAATAATGTGGCATTATTAGATGATCTTAATGACAAATAGGGTTGGATTTAATTACTAACCGCTTATTTATTTTAATATGTATATGTTATTGGGTTACACTTTCACTTTTAGTTACAGATAAGAGACAAAATATAAGTGATAAGAGATGACCTGACCATAATTAAATGTTTTTCCGTGGAGTGGAGAAAATAACTAGGTTTTTTTTTTGGGGGGGGGGGGTCCTCGAGAAATTATGTATGTTAATAATATTATATTACTTTGGTAAAACGATATAATAATATGGTAGTTTCGCGGTGGTTAATCGATTATTTAAACGGCCTAGCACCGATAGGCTGCTCTTGGTAGTGTAATTTGTATGATTTATGTATGAGGACGGTGGACCACGGCTAAGTACTAACACATGCGAGCACAACGCAGCCGAAACGAATAATTAACGGTAATAATTATTTGAAATTAAATTTCGGTACCATGTTGGGGAAGCAAAAAAAATGCCATCGTTTGTCGGGGACAATTATTATTTATTAATCGTGACATTAGGGCAGTGTAAACACACCGCAACATTTATTTAACTATATGGTTGACCCGGTAAATCTTTTGCAAATATATATATACAGACTACCGATTCAATCCTTTTCCCATGTCTCCCCTAGCGTTTCGATAAGTTAACAATGAGCCTACCGTTAAAGTACAGGACAAAATCATCCATTTGTCTTACTAGAAGTAATTTTTAAAAACAAAATTATATTCACATTGAATAACAATTATCTGATTCAATGCTACTCATTCGATTTGTTAACTAACTTTCTAACGGTATAAATTGTATAATAATATTCGTACATTTAGTACTTATTTTTATCTGCGCGCACTTCCCAACCCATCCTAACTTTTAAACTATTATAACTATAAAAATTGTTGTTCAAACCTGGTTACCAACCAGTCAAAATTGTTAGTACATTATTCTCAGTATAAAAATGTAATATAATATTTACGTTACCATTTAGGTTTTAAAAACTGATATAAAATGATACAATTAGTTTTAGAGGGGGCTAAAAACAAATAATAATTACAATTATTATACAATTGATCACATTGTATAAAAACACTATGAAAAAAAAAATTAAATCATTATTACATCCTATGAGGTATTGAGTGGTTCACAATAAAATAATCACCCTGTATTGTATTTTAGAATTTTCCAATATGATTTTCAAATAATAGGATTTAAAACTAATCGCTACCTATTAGATGGTCATAGGGGGGAAATATAGTATATTGAAAGCGTACCGTGTATATAATAATGTTATAATATTGCTTTGCAATTAGCTGTCCCTTTGTAATTTGACTTCAGCTTATTGCAAAACTCTGATTAGATTTTGTACCACTTTACAAAAACCGTTTAAAATTATCGATCACCGGAAAAACAATGTTCATAGTTAACGGCTATTGATCACCGACTTAGATGAATAACTTCTGTGTTGTGTGTTTAAACGGTTAAGTTGTTTTTTATTATCAAGAGAAAACGTCCATGTCGGTTAATTATGATTTAATGGCCGAGAAACTTAGTGATAAAAGTTGGGCAACCATAATAACCGACTTAAAAACTTATTACTTGATATTCAAAAATTATTGCGTTGTTCAT